GGGTTTGATTCCTTAACACCACATAAGCAGAAAAAGCTGGAAGTGGCGCTGTGGCTCAAGTGGTAGAGCGCTAGACTTGAGCTGAAGAGCTGAGGGACAGTACCCAGGCCCAGAGTTCAGGCCCATGACCGACAAAAAAAAAAAAAAAGAATGTTAAAATGTTAAATGTTTAAGATATTAAGAATAGCATGTAGCCTGGCACCAATAGCTCAGGCTGTAATCCTAACTACTCAGTAGGCTGAGATCTGAGGATCACAGTTTGAAGCCAGCCCAGGCAGGAAAGTCCATGAGATTTATCTCCAGTTAACTACCAGAAAACTGGAAGTGGCGCTGTGGCTCAAGTGGTAGAGAGCTCTCAGAGCTGAGGGACAGCACATAGGCCTAGAGTTCAAGCCCCAAGACTGACACATAAAGCAAGCAAGCAGGAAGGAAAGAAAGGAAGAAAGAAATAAAGAAAAAGAAAGAAATGCATGTAAGGGAAGCCCTGTGTTGAGCTTAGATGTGTTGCCCCAATGCGGGGTAGAAGATGTCAGAAATAAATCTTGAGGTCAGAATTCAAACCATAAGATGGGGAAGGGATGGGAAAAGGAAACAATGGAGGAGGCAACAATGCTTGATAAAAAAATGTACTCATTATCTTGCCCATGTAATTGTAACTCCTCTTCACACAATTAAAAAAACAAACAAACATAAGGTGTCCCAGGTCAAAGTTGCAGCAGTTTTCAGGGGGGAGTGAACAGCAGGTTCAAGTAAAGTGAAGTAGATGTGGTTCCAGGGAAAAAAGCAGGGCCCTTCATACTAAACATACTAGTACCTCATCCCTTTTCAGGAAGAATTTATGAAGATCCTTCTATGCTTGCTGTTTCTAACCCCACAGCTCTTCATTTGCATTACAAAACAAAAATAAATAAATAATAAAATATATAGCCAGTCCCCAGTGAGACTTATCTCCAACTAACCAACAAAAAGCTAGAATTGATTGTGTAGTTCCAACAGTAGATCCCCCACCTCCTGTGAAAAATCCACCCAAGAATGTGCATGGGTGTTCAAGCCCTAGTAGTGGCAGAAAATAAAACAGAACAAAAAATGAAAACAACAATAACCGCACACACAGAAAAGTAAATGCTTGGCTATTCCAAACAGCTCACAGGCAAGATAATTCTTACATATTCTAGAGGAAGAATCAGACTTCTGGGAAAATAAAAGATGGCCTGGAAAAAAAAAAAGATTTAGTGACCCAAGAATTCTGTCTGATTTTGAGGTTCTGTCTGATATTGAGGTTAGGCTTGAGTTTAGATTCACCAGTTGAAGATTGTTTCTTCAGGAAATCCTGTGGAATCCTGCAGAATAAAATGCAGTTGAACAGAAGGGATTCTCACATACTGAGAAGCAAACTGGCTGCAATGTTAAAACAAGGCATGCAATTTAAAGTACTAAGCAATAGGTGACAGGAAATCGGAAACGGAGTGGAATCAGACTAAGGCAAGAAATACCTAAGGAAAACAGAGACAAAAAAACAAAACAAAACAAAAACAAAACAAAACAAAAACAATGAGGAGGGAAGAAGAGAGGAAAGAAAGAAAAAAGAATTGGATTATAGAAAGTGAGCCACATTTCTTTAGGGTCTATTGTTTTTATGCCATACTCGAAAGAGCACATGGAAAGTACCAGTCTGCTTCTGCTGACTGAGATAAAAGGCTATTACCATATAAGCAAAAGGATCTGACTATGAAACCACAACACTGCGAAAGGAGTATTTAGTGCTCACGTAGATCCTGCTCTTTTAAGAAACAGTAATCAGTCTGTGTATGTAATTTGGAGAGTAATGTAAATTTGGATAGGGCTTGTTTATAATTGGGTACTAATGTGGGAGTATTGTGCTAATGAAAGAGTCAAGAGGGAGGCCGAGGCTGCTCTTTAATGGATAGTTCTCAATAGTAGTAATTGTAAGACACAGAAATTTTCCTTAACAATTAGGCCATTGGTTGTTTTGTAAAGGCCTATTTTATCTGCCTAAGGTAACCTTTCAATTATAGTACAAGGTAGTGAATTGGCCTAGGTTTGAGCTAGAGAATTAATTCATGCAGCAGTTATTTCTTTCCTGGGATAGGATGTCTCAGGAACAGATGTTCCAGGTGATAGTAACGTCACTACATAGTATCAGAACCATGAGAAGCCTTGCTAAGACAGCTTCTATGCTTGTGGGGGTTCTCCCATTATGCTCTACGCTTGGCCAGGAGTTTGGAGATATGTTTATGAAAAACAAAAAATGGAATGAGGTAAAAGTGACAATTTACTTAAAGAAAGGTCATGAACAAGTACTAAACTAGATCTATAAATATTTATGCTGTAATGGAGTCTTTAGATGACTAGCTGTCACCTTGTGTTGGTAACAAACTATTTGTGCTTCAGTAAGGATATGAAAATGATCATTCACATCCCCTAGCATGAGAAGCTTAAAGAAATTAGTATGTAAAGTGTTTAACTCAGCTTCTAGCTCATAGAAACATTTTATTTATTCTAATTATTAACATTTCAGAAGACCCTCTTAGATACCTTTATTTAAAAATTATCAATGTGTTTGACACTTCTAGATGATGCATTTTGGGCTCATATATGTTCATATACTCAACATGATGAATGTAAGAAAACAGTTTTGAACAAAAGATCAAGATAACTGGGTAAAGCATGAATGAGCATATATAGAGGCTTTCAAGACCCAAAATACTAACAAGTATTGTTAAAGATTGACGAAATAAATGAAAATGGTAAATCTCTAATTTAGGACAACAGTGGCCTCTGTGAAAGAATGAAAGAAAGAAGATGAGGGTAGGACTCTTACTGAACAGTTTCACTTCTTCAACTGACTTGTGGGTACATGGGTGGATATTATTTGTTGTCTACCTTGCCAGCTTAGCTAAGTTTTAAATTAGCTTATTTAGCTTTTCACTTCCATTTCTCCTTTGCTAGAGGAAAGTCGAATCATGCAAAACACAGGAAAACTATCACCGTTGGCTAAGACTTAATGATTTGTAGATTCTTGTTTACCTTAACTTATAGAGCCCATAAACAACAACATATTATTTAGTCAAGGAGATATGGTAAGAAAAAAAATGCATCTTTTAAGTACTCAAATCTTGGCTTCGGTGAGAAAAGCCACATGATTTTTAGGCAATGTTCTTGCTCTCAATGATTTTGTCTCTTAGTCTATAAAACCAGAAAAATTGTGTTTACACAGAGACCTAGCATATGGACAGTTCTCAAATAATGCAAGAGACCCTACAAAGGAGACCATTCAACTCTTCACTTGCCCCTCTGTGTGAATGTAAAATTCTAATTATTTTTAAATTATAAGGGATTACCAAATAGTTTTTATTTGAAAGTCACCAGCCTTTTTTCAAAGTCAAAGTTGTGACATTCAAAGAATCTGGGGGGGGGGGGGAGCGAGTGAGGGCTGGAACTGAAGAATCATATATGCTAGGATGAATTACGTTGACTACTACTTTGCTTATGTGGTGTATGTCTATCATTAACAGAGTGAGAAACAGCAAGGTATTAAATGTAGTGAAATACTACTGGGGAAATATAATCACATGAGCCACTGCAGTTTTGAAACCCAGGATTTATTTCATGTTCTCTGAGAAAATTTTCTACCTGCACTGGATTCCAGGCCAGAGAATTAAACAAAATAGACAGGATTTTTTTTCTAAAACTATTTCCAGGCTGAGAAGTTGGCTCAGTGGTAGAGCGCTTGCCTTGCATGCATGAGGCTCTGGGTTTGATTCCTCAGCACAACATAAGCAGAAAAAAGCTGGCAGTGGCGCTGTGGCTCAAGTGGTAGGGCACTAGCCTTGAGCTGAAGAGCCGAGGGACAGAGCCCAGGCCCAGAGTTCAGCTCCCACGACTGACAAAAAAATAAAATAAAATAAATAATAAAAAAATTAAATTAAAAAAAAAAGATTCCTTAATTTCTCTCTGTGCCTTTCTCTCCTCATTCTAAGACTTCATCAGAATACACTTGCTTTTAATTCTGGATGAAGAAACATATTGAATAAAAAAATCATTTGAACTTGAAATACTGCAACAATTATTAGACAATCTTTATGCTAATCAAAGTATAGCCTACAAAAAAAGGAAAAAGAGAAGTAAAGGTAAAGCCATGAGTCAGAAACCAGTTCATTAAAATAGGTGACCTTTAGCTAGGCCTCATTGGCATTTTCTCCTCACAAAATATGACCACTTATATTAGACACCATAAAATTACATTCCTGTTATAGTTGGCCTTGCTCTTTGCAAATATAACTACTCAAACTACAAAAAAATAATGTGTTGTATTCAACCACGTACTTTTGAAAGGAACTCAAATGTATGTTTGAATTTTTCTACTGAGGAATGGCAAGGAAATGGAGTATTTACATACACACACACACACATACACACACACACACACACACACACACACACACACACACACAAATCTTTTTCTCTAAACTTCCACTAAGTGAATGCATTGACTTATACCTTTCATTTTTGTGCCAAACAAAAACAATATGTTCTGATACGATTTGCAGCAAAGTGAGAAAGTCTATTTCAAGTGTGCACTATTCCTTAAACAAAGTTTTACAGATCAAAATCTCTGAAATATCAATGTCTCAAAATGAGTGGCATGATTAAAATTATAAAGAAGCAACCATGACTAGTAGGTTGATATCTTAGGGAACTATTTGACAATAATTCTATATATCAAATTTTAGTAGCACGTTTGAAATAGCATTATCCACTTCTGGAAATATAGGCTACAAATAAATGCAGAGGGTTTCAGTAAAGTAAGATGTCAGTAATAAATGAATAGGAATAATTTACATGTCAATTGATAGTATACTGGCCAAATACACAAGTATAGCCACAAAATCAAATATATATCTATAGATAGATAGATAGATAGATAGATAGATAGATAGATAACTGTATATATATGCCATTGAAAAGCATGAAAGGAAGTGTTGGCTTAAGCAGCACATATACTAAAATTGAAATGACACAGAAAAGATTTGTGTGGCCTTGTGCAAGGACGACACACAGGTTCCTGAAATGTTCCATAGCCAAAAAGAGAATGAAAAAACATGAATGAATTAAGTTCAAATGAATTAGGTACATTGGTAGGATAGATAGATAGATAGATAGATAGATAGATAGATAGACAGACAGACAGATAGATCGATCAGGTAAGGGTAAAAAACAATTTATATAAAACATTCATAGTAAGAGAAAAATGAGGGAAGGGGTACAAGTTCAACAATAAATAAACTTATTACCTTACTTATGTAAGGTACATAACCTTGACAATATAAAAAAATCAGGCAAAAAAAGAAGATTCATGTCCATATGCACAGTTGAGTATATATAGAATATTTCTCAAATATTCTAGAAAGAGTTGTTGATTCTGATGAAGTAGATTATACCTAAGAACCAAAAGCGTAATAACTTTTCATTGTACAGTTTTGTGAATTCTTTCTTTTTACAATATTATGTATTACTTTTCCAATAAAAATATTATTAATGGCATTAGACAAGGCAATGTATAAAGTGGATTCAATTTTCCTACCTGAACTTGAAACAAAATAAGAAAACATCCAAGCACAGGCTTACACTTGTTATCCTACCTATTCAGGAGGCTGAAATCAGAGGACTGCAGCTCAAAGCCAGTAGAAGCAGGAAAGTCCATAGGATTCATCACTTATTAGCTACCAAAAATCCAGAAGTGGAGCTGTGGCTTAAGTTGCAGAGTACTAGCCCTACTCAGGAAAGCTCAGGGACAGCATCCAGGCCCCAAGTTCAAGCTCCAGGACTAGCACACACAGACAGACAGACAGACAGACAGACACACACACACACACACACACACACACACTCTCTCTCTCTCTCTCTCTCACACACACACACACATGCACACACACACACACACCTCATACAACCAACAAATATAAATGTTAGCTTTAGTGTTATTATCAAACTTGTTTGCTGAAAGTTCATCTGAAATACATGATGAATTATTCCATCACGAACCCCAGGTGCCCCAGTAGGGGACTGATAAAGGTGCATGTACTATGGACAGGATAAGTTTGAATTAGAAGCAGTCCCCAGTGGGACCTCTCCCCTGTGTTTATTTATCAGGGAAATCAACTTTTTCTACCTAAATAGGATTTTTCTTGTAATTCCCTTCAAATAATATGAAAATTATGTTATTTTGATAGAAATGAGGAATGAGAAATAAATCCTGCCTGGTGACAACTGCATGAAAAAAAAATACATGCCATTTTGGATTTTTCCCATCTCCAACACACAGCATCCCTAATTTAACATCTTACCATAAACAATACCCATTCTTGCCCAAAGCTTTCCTAGGAATATGAATCTCAAGATAAAGTTCAACAGATAGCAATCTTGCAAACTTGGAAATTTCTAAGACATTGACCAGTCTGGATCTCTTGAAAATCTCATTCTCTTTTACTTGTTTTCATTAAGATGAAGCAGAATAATGAGGTCATGCTCATTGAAATCCCTTTTCAGTTCTGTCCATTTGAGTCCAACTGATCACTTTAATGTGAACGTCAGATAGGGAACACCCCTCAGATTTTTTTGTGTTTCATGTTTTTGGATTTTGTTGTTTCTTTGTTGTTCTATTAGAGAATCACTGTATTTAGCTACACATTGTATGTGTTTCATTGCACCTACTGTTTATTTGTTGAGCTTCAGTGGAAGGGGAAAAAGATAGAAGAGGATAATATTGTATTTTTCTTTCCTTGGCATTTCCAAACACATTTCAGATTTTTCTAACTTTCTTGCAGAGTATCATTAAGGTGAGACTATAATTGAAAGTACTGAAAAGCCTTGCCTTGGCCTCTAGTTTCCAGACTGCATGTAAGGAGATTAGACTTTGCAAGTTCATTCAAACCAGAAGGAAAAACCAAAGACTCAACAACTCTTCTGGAATCCATCAGAGAAATGAGATCACAGGGCAAACTGCAGTCCCCAAACACTGGCAGGAGAAACCAGCAGCTTCCTAGCACAGAAACTCATTAGCAGAAGCCACTTCAGGAACTAGTGTTAAAGCAGGAAAAACTGAACTCATAAATTGCTGGGGGTTGAAAAAGGACACGTCTGAGTGATAAAACACACACACACACACACACACACACACACACACACACACACACACACACACACCAAAAAAATTCTACAGGGTCCCAGTTATCAGGGGTTCAGACTTTTATGAGTTTTTGCTTCCAGGAACTTCACCAGATTCTCATAGTGATTATCAAAGAAAAATTCTCTCTTGTTTCCAAGAGGAGAAAGGAAAAAGGAGCCAATTTGACATAGGCCTGAGCATTCTGTGTGGCTCTGAAGAGACACTGTTTTGCTAAAGCCCCGGAAAACCTGTTGGACTATTATGAGAGCCTACTGTAACTAGGCAAAGGAAAATATCTAACTCTTTTCCCTCCAGACTGCCATGAAGGGAAAGGAAAATACCCAGTCTAGTTGAACCAAAGCTCATCCTCCCATGACAAGACTTACCTGAGGGCTGACAACCAGTTGCATGATTGTAGGATGCCTCTCAGACAGTTCTTATACCAAAGACCTATTTGCCACAGTTTATTTTTCCAGGGCATCCTGTTGTTGTCTTATAACAACAGCAGAAAATTATAAGGTATATGAAAAGGTACAAACGTTCCCAGACTTCCACAGTTTGGATATTCTCAACTTTAAACGAAACAATCAGAAAATGTTGGAATTCTTAAACCAAGAGATAAAAAAATCAATAAACAAAAATCTCAGTAGGTCTCCAATGGTTTATGCCTTAGCTCCTCAGAGAGTGGAGACCTAGAGGATTGAGGTTCAAAGCCATCCGGTGGGGGAGGGAGGGAGAATAATGCGATTTCATGTCCAAAATAATTAGCCAAAACAAGGCTGGCAGCCTTGTTGATGGTAGCGCATCAGCTATGCCAGCAAGTTACACAAGTACGTAGCTCTCCATTCAAAGCCTAGCACCCCTTCGCCCCCCAAAAAAACCCTGAACATATGATCATTAGACTAAGGGCATTAATAGAGTATTTTTAAAGCAACACACAATGCAATTACAACATATACAATTATCTCCTGGCTTGTCTGGACTGAGGATAGTGTAGGGAAATCACAACTGTTGGATCTTTGGTGAGATTGCCTAAACTTGACTAATACTGGAAAGTAAACATTAATGTTTTACTAATACTGGAAAGTAAACATTAATGTTTTCTCTCTGACCTTGAAATCTCAGAGAATGTCCCTGACATGGAAATATTACTGAAACCAGAGGGATTTACAAGGGCATGTATTTGTGTCATATTTGAAATGCTTATGAAACACACATGCATGTCCATTTGGCAATATTTGTCTCAGTTCTTGTCAAGCACAGGCGATTTGAGGTTCAGATATAGATGGTAAAGTATTCCTCTTCCAACAAATCTGCTCCATGACCATGAACCCTAGTGTCCCGAATGCTGTAACTTGGAAACCATCAATAATTCAGTTATATAGCTCACTGTAGTTTTTGCTTCTCTATTTATTAAACAAGAGCCATCTTCTGGAACTAGCAGAATTTTAAATCTAACTTTTAGTCATCTATATGTTAAGATGTAAAAAAGTTCTTACTCTTCTTTTAAAATATTGCTAATTTTTCCATGTCTCTCAAGATCTTTTCAAGTTATTTACTTTAAAAGCACAGTGTAAGTGTTGAACACTTTGAACTGATTGAGAAGGGTTTTACGATTTTCACAGTGGTGGTAGTCTATGAAAGTTGTTTAAAAGGACAATGAAGGTGTTAATAAGTATCAATATTTGGCTGCTATTTCTTTCAGTAAAAATACTTTGAAGATTACTTTTTTCCTATGACTGTTTAAATTTCTTGAATTTAAAGACTCAAAATCTGGTCCCATTTCATTCCCTATGTCCCCATGATCATTCCATGGTAGTCAATATCTTCTAGACCTTTCTTTTCTTCTATTTTTCTTTTCTTTCTTTTTTCTCTTTTCTTTTCTTTCTTTTCTATCTTTCTCCTTTTTATTTTTATTTTCTCTTTTCCTTTCCCCTTTTCTTCTTCTTCTTCCTGTCTTCTCTCTCTCTCTTTCCATTCCTTCTTTCTGTGTGCATACCTCCATAAAACATCCTTCTAGTAATTGACTTTTTCATAAGTTACTCTACATTTACCCTGCAACTACCATGACTTGTAGTGTGGATTCTACAATTGTAGAAAATGCTGCAGCTGGTAAATATAAAAGATGGGTATGTGAAAGTTGATTGAGTTGTTCTTAGTATTCCTCCATAGCTTTTAATGTTTTTCAAAACCTTAGGAAAAAATTCTTAAGTTGGCCTGTTTTAAAATGCTAGTGTCAAAACTGACTAGTGTGTTCTAGTATGAGATCACCTGTGACTCAGTTTCCTTTGTGAAATGATAATAACTAATGGTATCTACATCACAGAATAGTGGTAATGAAATTATTTAATTACTGTTAAATTTAGCTCAATGCTTACAAAGTTTAGTATATAAATTAATATCTGGATCATTAAGTGATGTGGTTGATCACAGTGATTGAGAATTCATTCTCAATATGTGAACAAATTCTGCCATTCATTGTTTATGAGAATACACACAAATGAATTTCTCTAAGCCTCGTTACTTTTATAAAAATATTTGTGTTTCTTAAGCTTTTGTATGAGGATTAATAATTAAGATATATAGAAGATTCAGTAATTTGGCAGGTAAATAAGCAAAAATTATTATCTATTATTTTATAGTAATTGTTTAATAGTTTTTGGCTATGTTGGTATTTAAGTTCTTCTTAAAATTTCTTGTTGTATTATTTTAAATATATGTATGTATGTATTGGCTATATTGGTATTTAAATTTTTCTTAGTTGTATTATTTTAAATATATGTATGTATTTATTGTTGATACTGGGGTAGAATACAAGTTCTAGCTGTCTTTTCACTCACAGCTGGTGCTCTGCATCTTGAGTCATGTTTCCTCTTCTTATAATAGTTTTTGACGTAGTATTTAAGCCACTTCATTA